TTTTTTTTTGAGATGGAGGCTTGCTCTGTCACCCAGGCTGGAGTGCAGTGGTGTAGTCTTGGCTTACTGCAATATCTGCCTCCTGGGTTCCAGTGATTCTGCTGCCTCAATTTCCCAAGCAGCTGGGATTACATGTGCACACCACCATGACTGGCTAACTTTTGTATTTTTATAGAGATGGACTTCACCATGTTGGCCTGGCTGGTCTCCAACTCTTGACCTCAAGTAATCCGCCTGCCTTGGTCTCCCAAAGTGCTGGGATTACTGGTGTGAGCCACCGTGCCCAGCTTTCTGTTTTGTTGAATTTATAGTCTTCTGAGGGATCATTTTAAGACCAGTTTCTAATTTGGCCTTGGTCACAATTAGTTGTTTATGTGTCTACATTATAACTGAGGCATAAAACTCATTTGGAATGAACTGAAAGCTACTTGGTCACTCCTCTGTTACCATAAGAAGAAATGAGCAACAACGTAAGGCTTTAAAAATTATGACAATACAAAAGATGTAGCAAAACATATAGGTCTATTCTAGATTAAGATGGTAGAAAGGGTGTTTTAGAAATTATCTGTAATTAGGTCTTGTCAAAGGGAGATTAGAAACAAATTCAGAATCATCTGGGTTTCAACTGATACGGGGAGAGCCTACAGTGTGGGGTTCTTTTGGATGTGCCCCCACTTCCCCTTCCAGACCCTGAAAACCTTTTGGACTGCCTGAAGAGTCTAGATGATTGTAAGGTATTACATAAACTGAATACCATTATGTTAATTATCATATATATTTATAAAGGCATTTTCTGTTTCCAGGTATGTAAGAAAAGCATACACAGACATGTGAAAAATATATTTTGTTCTGCTTTTTCACTATTGAGCTAATGATATGTGAAAAGGAATATAGATGGCATTTACAACTGCTACTTATGAGTGAGAACATGGGTTTTCTGTTCCTGTGTTAATTTGCTGAGAATGATGGTTTCCAGCTTCATCCATGTCCCTGTAAAGGGCATAAACTCATTCTTTTTTATGATTGCATAGTAATCCATGGTGTTTATGTGCCACATTTTCTTTATCTTTATCTTTTCTTGATGGGCATTTGGGTTGGTCCCAAGTCTTTGCTACTGTGAATAGTGCTGCAATAAACATACATGTGCATGTGTCTTTATAATAGAATGATTTGTAATGGGATTGTTGGGTCAAATGGTATTTCTGGTTCTAGATCCTTGAGGAATTGCCACGCTGTCTTCGCAATGATTGAACTAATTTACACTCCCACTGACAGTGTAAAATTGTTCCTATTTCTCTACATCTCCTCCAACATCTGTTGTTTTCTTACATTTTAATAATTACCATTCTGAGGTGAGATGATACCTCATTTTGGTTTTGATTTGCATTTCTCTAATGACCAGTGATGATGAGCTTTTTTTCATGTTTGTTGGCCAATAAATGTCTTCTTTTGAGAAGTGTCTGTTCATATCCTTCACTCATTTTTTGATGGGGTTTTTTTCTTGTAAATTTGTTTAAGTTCCTTTTAGATTCTGGATGTTAGCTCTTTGTCAGATAAATGGATTGCAAAACTTTTCTCCCATTCTATAGGTTGCCTGTTCATTCCAATGATCGTTTCTTTTGCTGTGCAGAAGCTCTTTTGTTTAATTAGATCCCATTTGTCTATTTTGACTTTTGTTGCTATTGCTTTTGGTGTCTTAGTCATGAAGTCTTTGCCCATGCCTGTGTCCTGAATGGTATTGCCTAGGTTTTCTTCTAGGGTTTTTGGTCTTACGTTTAAATCTTTAATCCATCTGGAGTTAGTTTTTGTATAAGGTGTAAGGAAGGAGTACAGTTTCAGTTTTCTGCATACGGCCAGCCAATTTTCCCAACACCATTTATAAAATAGGGAATCTTTTTCCCATTGCTTTTGTCAGGTTTGTCAAAGATCAGATGGTTATAGATATGTGGCATTATTTCTGAGGCCTCTGTTATGTTCGATTGGTCTACATATCTGTTTTGGTACCAGTACCATGCTGTTTTGGTTACTGTGTTCTTGTATAGTTCAAAGTCAGGTAGCATAATGCCTCCAGCTTTGTTCTTTTTGCTTAGTATTGTCCTGGCAGTATGGGCTCTTTTGTTCCATATGAAATTTAAAGTAGTTTTTTCTCATTCTGTAAGGAAAGTAAATGGTAGCTTGATGAGAATAGCAATGAATCTATACTTTGAGCAGTATGGCCATTTTCATATTGATTCTTCCTATCCATGAGCATGGCATTTTTTTCCATTTGTTTGTGTCCTCTCTTATTTCCTTGAGCAGTGGTTTGGAGTTCTCCTTGAAGAGGTGCTTTACAACCCTTGTAAGTTCTATTCCTAGGTATTTAATCCTCTTTGCAGCGATTGTGAATGGGAGGCCACTCTTGATTTGGCTCTCTGTCTGTTATTGGTGTATAGGAGTGCTTGTGATCGTTGGACTTTGATTTTGTATCCTCAGACTTTGCTGAAGTTGTTTATCAGCTTAAATCTATTTGGGGCTGCATATGTTTATTGCAATACAATTCACAATTGCAAAGATATGGAACCAAACTAAGTGCCCATCAACCAAAGATGTGAAACTAAACTAAGTATCCATGTCCATCAACTGGTAAGTACATAAAGAAAATGTGACACACACACACACACCCATACACACACACCATGGAATACTACTTAGCCATAAACAAGAATGAAATAATGTCTTTTGCAGCTGTTTGGATGGAGCTGGAGGCCATTATATTAGATGATGTAACTCAGGAATGAAAAACAAAATACCATATGTTCTCACTTATAAATGAGAGCATAGCTATGGGTATACAAAAGCATACCTTTGAGTGGTATAATGGACTTTGGAGACTCACAAGTGGGGACCTTGGGAAAAGGATGAAGGATAACAAGCTACATATTGGGTACAATGTACACTACTTGGTGACAGGTGCATCAAAATCTCAGGCTTCAACACTATACAATTTGTTCATGTAACCAGAAGCCACTTGTACCCCCAAAACTATTGATATTAAAAGCAATATATATATATATTGCATTCCAAATTCCATCAGCTAACATTTCTCAAATCTTATTTCAAGAGAAACGAAAGATGAATTCTCTTCTTTCAAAAATCATACATGATATTTAGGAAAGCAGAGCACACTCAGACAAAAAAATAAAATTTTTTGAAGTAATTGGCAGGGCCAAAGAATAGTTTGTAGGCCAGGCATGGTGGCTCACGCCTGTAATCCCAGCACTTTGGGAGCCCAAGCCGGGTGGATTACCTAAGGTCAGGAATTCCACACCAGCCTGGACAATATGGTGAAACCTTGTCTCTACTAAAAATACAAAAAAAAAAAAAAAAAAAAAAAAAATTTAGCCGGGTGTGGTGGTAGGTACCCGTAATCCCAGCTACTAGGGAGGCTGAGGCAGGAGAATCGCTTGAACTTGGGAGGCGGAGGTTGCAGTGAACAGAGATCACACCACTGCACTCCAGCCTGGGCGACAAGAGCAAAACTCCATCTCAAAGAAAAAAAAAAGAATAGTTTGTAAAAACAAACACTGTTCAAGGGTAAATAACCAGAAAAATGAGCACACTAGACAAGGTATTCAAAAGGGTTTCCTCAAGACAGTGACATTTATTTTGGGTTTTTATAAAAACAAATTTGGATTAAAGTTGTGAGGGGACCTATCAGACAAAGAGGATAGCTGACTTTTGTGCAGGAGAAGGAAAAGAGAGTTTTGTTTCAGCTATCGGCACATTTCGTCTCACACTGTAAGACTTAAGATGAACAGAAAAATGTATTTAGCAAACAATCTATTGCATCTACTCCTGATTTTTTTTCTAATTTATTGAAAATCTCAGCTATATTTTCCTTATGCAGAATAGCCCCAAAATGTTCTAATATTGACTGTGTTTAAAGTTGTTTTTCCTCTAAATTTTACTTGATAAATCATTTTTTAACTTTATTTGTACAATTTTTGACTTTGTTCTCTTACATGACACTGGGTAATTGTAGACCAGGCAAAGCTTGTATACTAACTGACTCCCCGTCTACCATCTGGTGGTTTTCTCCCCCTCATAAGTGGAACAAACTTCCTTCCAAAGAAGTTTACTGCAGTCACAAACTGCTCTTTATGGTCATTTGAGAGATAAAATTCCATAACTCAAGTTAGCATTGACATTTTATCAGTGCTGTCAAGCCACTCTAGGGAATGGAAACCAGCATCTCACTGAGTGCTCTGAGTGGGGACATATTTTCTCTGCTTATTATGGACGGCGAGAGATGGCTGAATTAAAACAGAGAAATACTTCAGTGATGCAGAGCAAAAGTGACTTCCTGTTTGGTTTCAGGTTTTGTTTCTTCTCCTCTCAATGAAGTCTGTGTCTTCTGACATTAGGCAGTCCTTTTGCTCAGTGATTTCCCATTGAGAGGGCATAGTGCAAGGGTCTCTGCAGGTCATGCTATTTACCATATAAGCTGAAAGGGAAGGGTGGGTGGGGGTGGGGAAGAGAGGGCTCATTAGTGAAAGGAGCAGACCAGGAGGGGATCTGTTTTCCATTTTCTCTCCCAGATTGAACTCATCTGGATGGAAAGGGTTTGATTGTTGTTATAATCACTATTACCTGCGTGATTTCGTTTTCCTACACTTTTTTTCCCCCTCAGATGTTGGGCAAAATTGTTGCTGAGAAGAGTTATTAGCAGATAATATGTGCTGTTTTATTCGTGAGAGAAAAAAAAAAAAAAAAAAAAAGTCCAAGCGCATTAGAACTGTTAGTTTCCACTTAAAGCTTGAGGAGCAAAATTCAAAAGGGAGAAAAACAGAAGGAAAAAAAACCTGTTCCTTGCTTCTTCTGGTGTTCTATTTGTAATCTTGCGCGGCATCTTCCTTTCCTTTTTTTTTTTAATGAAAGGCAATCCTTCCCCCACCTTCTCCCCCGCAGTTACTGAAAAAGCAGACCTCTGTAGTCACTAGCTCTGGGTTGATACGGCTCAGCCGCTGCTCGCAGGGGTCTGTGTTTTTCGCCACTTGGACAAAGTGGCACTGCTTAAGCCTTTCCTCCGACCAGATCTGACTTCCTGCAGAGCCAGTGATCGCAGAGGTAAACCTGGAGTTTGCTTAAACCAAATACCTCCAGGAAGGAGGGTCTCGGGTGGGTTCCCGAGTAGGGAAGTAGGGGGACGTTTCCGTAGGGAATTGGAACGGGCTTTTTAGTGAGGGGCTAGGGGCTCCTCTCTGGGATTAAAGTCGGGTTCCCCAGTGTGAGGGCGGAGCTCGACACGGCGCGGTCTTGGGGTCTCGCACTCCCACCGCTTCGCACGGCTTCGCGCCCCCACCGCCTGCGACCCCCCAGGCCTTCTCTCCCCCGCGCGCGCACTCGGGAAGAGCAGCAGGCGTGGGAGGGCAGAGACTGCCCCGGGGGCGGAGCTCCCTCTCGGGCCAGAGGTGGGAAAGTTCGGAGCCGCGGGGGCCGAGGCACAGACCTCCCGGAGAGGCTCCTCACGCGCGTCCCTCCTGCCAGCCCTGGTGGCAGCCTCAGTGGCCGCTGCAGCTCACACAGAGAATTAGATCTTCTTAGCCCACAGGACTTGCAAACTCTTGCTACACACTTCTCTCCCTTTAGGAGCTTCTCCTCCCTACTTCCCCTCAACCCCTCTGTCCCCCTGACTTTGGAGAATTTAGTGCTTTCTTTAGGATCTTTTTGTGTGCGTGACCTAGGGGACCTGACACCCCAGTGCCCCGACTGTTTCTCAGCGGAATTCTACTTTTGTTTCTGTCTTCCTCGCCTCCTCTCGTGTCCCTCTTATCTGATTGATCTGCGAAGTCTGATGCTTCTGCCAGAAGGAGAGGAATAAATAGACGTTGCCGCCTCCGAAGGCTTAGTCTTTGGGAAAGAGCAGCTTGGGCGGCAGGGGCGGCGGCTGGAGCTCGGTAAAGCTCGTGGGACCCCATTGGGGGAATTTGATCCAAGGAAGCGGTGATTGCCTGGGGGAGGAGAAGCTCCCAGATCCTTGTGTCCACTTGCAGCGGGGAGGCGGAGACGGCGGAGCGGGCCTCTCGGCGTCCACTGAGCGGCTGCACCCTGCCCCATCCTGCCGGGATCATGGTCTGCGGCAGCCCGGGAAGGATGCTGCTGCTGCTGCGGGCCGGGCTGCTCTCCCTGGCTGCGCTCTGCCTGCTTCGGGTGCCCGGGGCTCGGGCTGCAGCCTGTGAGCCCGTCCGCATCCCCCTGTGCAAGTCCCTGCCCTGGAACATGACCAAGATGCCCAACCACCTGCACCATAGCACTCAGGCCAACGCCATCCTGGCCATCGAGCAGTTCGAAGGTCTGCTGGGCACCCACTGCAGCCCCGACCTGCTCTTCTTCCTCTGTGCCATGTACGCGCCCATCTGCACCATTGACTTCCAGCACGAGCCCATCAAGCCCTGTAAGTCTGTGTGCGAGCGGGCCCGGCAGGGCTGCGAGCCCATCCTCATCAAGTACCGCCACTCGTGGCCGGAGAACCTGGCCTGCGAGGAGCTGCCGGTGTACGACCGGGGCGTGTGCATCTCTCCCGAGGCCATCGTCACTGCGGACGGAGCTGGTGAGTTTTGCCACGGCCCACTCTCCCCTTACCTTCCAGCCCCCTCACTTCTTGGAGTCCTTGTTACTAGCCTTTACTCGTTCATTCTTCTCTCTTCGGATGACTTATCTTAAACTCTCCCTTTACTGCTCCTCTATCAGTCTTCTTCTTCTGTCTTCTTTCTTCAAAAACAAAACAAAACAACAAAACACTTCACCTCCTCACCTTCCAAACGGATGTACTCTTGCACTCTGTTCCAATAGATGATCTTTCTAAAGCACTCCATGCATTCCACACCAATCCCACTTAGACTCCACAGGAATCCTTCACTTCAACTCTATACACGTGAAACTAGCCACATTTTGCAAAGTGATGCTCTTTTCTTTTACAATTGGTTTATAGTCATTGGTTTCTTTCCTGATTCTCAGGCAATCTCAGTCATCAGGCTTCTATATCTTTAGTGTTTTAGCTGCTTGTTAAGATTATATGGAGGAAACAGAAAACTGAAGCCCCATTTTCTTCTAATTAAAAATGCTGAGATAATTTTAATAACCTTACTCCAACCGACAGATGTTAGAAGTATGTGTTTGCTCAAGATCCAATTTGAACAATTACCTTCACCTTAAATTTCCCCTTCCTTTCAATGAGATAAGTTGTTCTTCCATTCCGGAATGAAACAGCTGTGAAACATTGCTATGCACTGTTAATTAGCTCCTGTGGCTTGCTCCAGCCATAGAGCTGGCAGACTGAAATTACTGAGCTCTTTTCACATGTCTTCAAGTCATTTTATAAGTGGCATACAGATGAAAGGAGGTATATTTAAGGTGTGTTATCATTATTCACTCACATAATGTTATTTTAAATCTCACCCTTTATTCCACTCCCATATTTTGCACACAAAAAATTGTCTTTAACACCTTATTTCATGCTCCTTTTCCGTGTGTGCACCAACCACACAGCTATTTCAGTCTTTCCCTATCATAAAACTTTATTGCAGTTCTAAATTTAATGGAATCAATCACAAGTTGTTTTCTCACTAGTGTTTAGTCTAATTATGACATTCATAACTCTAAGACCCCAAATAAACCTACTTCATTATGGTCCATTTAATTCTAACTCAGTATTGCTTCTACCAACTAACCAAACCTCAAGTTTTACCCTTTATATATTTTACAAATAAGGCAATTTTTTTCACTAGTGGTCCTCTTTCATACCCTGCCCTCCAGATCAACTCTGTTCTTAGATGTGTTGATTTGGTTGCCTTCATCTGTTTATTTCTTGGACATCAACTTTCCTTCCTCATTCAACTTGCACAGTCTAGGCTCATGTCCCCAGTCCATTTCTAGGTCATAATTCTTAGTTATTAAGGAATTGGTTTGAAAAAATTACTTCCTGTGCACATTGGCTCATTTAACAAAGTGAGAGAAGTAGAAGTAATTGTAAAAAATGGTTAAAGGAAAAAAACACAAAGATTTCAAGAACTTTTTGATGGTGACCTCACTTAATTTATCACTTTTTGAATGTACCTATTGTCTTCTTGATTTTAATCAAGAACCAAAAGCTGGTTGTGTAGAATCATTACAGAAATGTATTCCTTATTACTGTTTGCTAGAAGAGCATGCTTGAGCCCGAGTACTCACTAGTCACAGACTGCAGAGTCTGGAATAGTCCAGCACAGTTGCCCCTCTGGTTTGCCAGGCACTTTGAATCAGTTAAATGCAGGTGCTTCTCCCAGGCCAAGTGCTAGGAATCAGGTAGCAGTGGTTCAGGCTGAAATGCATCCCCCCCACTTAAAGGACAAAACTTGCTCTTAAACCTCCCTTGGAGGTGGACCTAGAGTGAGTGAGGTTTGGCAAGGTTAATGGCTCTCAAAAAGCCATAGTCAGTAAAGATGGGAAGCAGTTTCATTAAATGTCCCTGAGTTACCAATCACTGAAACAAACATGGAACAGTTGCCACATTGAAGCACTCAAATAGGACATTCATGGAAGCAATGTGTCAGTTCATGAGACCTGATTTCTGAGCTTCTTTAAAGTGCCAGAATATCTGCTTTACTGACAGCATCCTTGCTAGAAAAATAGGTGGTAGTTGGAATCATATTTAGTGATGGTGTCCCTGTCCCCTTCCATAAGCTTCAGTGTGAACCAGAGACTGTGGTGGCTGGGGAAGCTGAAGGGCCGGGGGAGGTGGAAATTGGGAATGAAACGGGTAGATTTTAGCCCGAAGGGTCTCCCGGCTTCCAGGGCCAACTTGTTGAAAATTACATTCCCTGTGCCTGGTCAAACTGTCAAACACCTGGAATTACTTAGGAACTACCACATGTGACCAGTATAATTTACGATGCAATTTCCAATATACTCTTTGGTTCAGTGGGATGTTATCACAAAGTTCACAAAGCAGGGTTTTTTTTCCTTCCTTATTTGGGTATAAGGAGAATCCCTGTATCTTTTTATTAGTATCTAGGTATAAAATTGAGCTCTCCCTGAAAATGGGACAATCTTTCACATTCTTTCAATGCCAAGAAGATTTTCAAATCCTACCATTCGTGGGGATCTGTTCTCTTATAGTGCATCATGACTCCACAAACAAGCTTAGGACCTTTTACAAAGCAGTCTTATTGAAATGGAGTAATGCTTGAAATGACATTTTGCTTTCAAAATACTAAGGGTGAACATATTTTTATAAAGAATGGGTTCCATCCCAGCCATTATTATTATTATTACACATTTTATTTTTGCTAGAGTATGACTACAGATTATTTGATAACTCAGCTTAATTTAGTCATTCAGCAAGTTAGTGATGATATTCAGTCAAATCTTTAATATTGTGTGGTAAGTAAAGAGGATAGGCTTGGAGTGGGCAGACCAGGTGTTAAATGACTGCCCACCACATCAACTGTTACAGGAAAATTATATGACCTCTGTAATTCAAAGTTTTCTTATCTATAAAATCAGGACAAAACTATCTACATCCCAAGGGCATGGTAAAGATGAAATTAAGGTGGGTGCAGTGGTTCACTCCTGTAATCTTAGCACTTTGGGAGGCTGAGGTGGGTGGATTACTTGAGGTCAGGATTTGGAGACCAGCCTGGCCAACATGGTGAAACCCCGTCTCTACTAAAAATACAAAAAATGAGCCAGGCATGGTGGCACAGGATTGTAATCCCAGCTACTCAGGAGGCTGAGGCAGGAGAATCGCTTGAATTCAGGAGGCGGAGGTTGCCGTGACCTGAGATGGTGCCACTGCACTCCTGCCTGGGCTACAGAGCCAGACTCTGTCTCGAAAAAAAAAAAAAAAAAAAAAAAACCGCATATAAAGCATTGCATTTAGTACCTAGCAACCACTGAAAAAATTGCTGCTGCTATTTTACTGTTATCACTGTTACAACAAATTGACTAACATTTTCTATTTTGTTTTTTGAAACGATTAGGTTGGTAAATACAGATGCAGCCTAGAACTTTTATTAGTTCATCTCCTGGGGGAAAAAAAATTACAAAAAAAAAAAAAAAACCTTTTCATTGGAACTTAACTGGAAAAACAGATCTTATTTCTTCTAAATATATAAAGTTAATATTTCATTTTACACAAATTGACCTAGACCTCAGGCTCAAGAGCAGATCCCTTTGGGAGTAACAGAAAAAAGAATAAGTCTGGTGGATAAGTTAATTACAAATAATTTATCTCAGAAACCCAGGAATCAAGCAGTTAGGAAAATTTATGGTATGATATTTCACAGCTATTTCTACAACACCTACAGTTTGCCATGCCAAGGGCTTTATAATCACTCCTCAGTCCGTGCTGGCTTCTGTGGCAGAGCTAACTTTTCTCCCCAGCTCTTGCTCGACACGTTTCTGCAGGCCTTCTCTCTCCTGGCAGAGCCGTGCCAACTTTCACATGCAGGAGCTGCCGTTTAATCGTTTCTCCACTCTCAGAAAAACAGGCAGTCTTTTCTTTGGCCCTGGTGTACAAATATTTGAGGGGCCAAATACCAAGAAGGAAGAATTATTTAGTGTGATATGAGGAGGAAAATTGAAAGGAGAAATGGAAATTTTAGATTAGGATAAAAGAGAAAACATGCTTCTGAGGATCCTTCATGGTGTAAAACATTGAAAGGCACTCTGGATGGGTTAGGGAAGAGTATCTCAGTGTTATATTAATAGTGTTTAACTTTATTTAGAGCAGCCCCCATTATCAGGGGGTAATGTAATCTTATGTAGTCTCCAAATCTTATTTTAATAATTTACTTTTTATTTCATTCCCACTAAACCTTCATATAGCTGTTGCTACAAGTTGCACAACTGCCTAGGTTATATTTGGCTCTTGTAGTTCTACTTGGTGTCTAGAATGAGCAGACCAAGAGCCAACAGATGGACGTAGTTTTGAATAATTAAGAATTGGCTACATCTCCTCAATTCAGAGAAAACCACAGTTTTAGAGTTACAGGTCTTTAGTTGGAATTCTAGATTTGCCATGAATTTTGTACATTGAAGTAGTCGACTGGGGAGTGTGAAGAACAAAAGAAATCCTAATATGAAGTTACTGATAAATGGGAAAGCACAATATAAATGTTTAACAACAATGTCATTGAGGAGAGGATGTGTCATCCTCAGGACAGGAACCATTGGCAACAGAATAAAAGCTACCAACACTTCCGTTCTCAGTGCTGTCCTGAGTGCATTATGCACGTTCACTTAATCCTCCTGAGTGCATGGTAGGTGCTGTTACTCCCATTTTGGAGAAAAGGAAGCCAAGGCATATAGAGAAGCTAGGTGACTGTCTAAGTCAGAAGAGCTAGTAAGAAAAAGAGAGTTCAAAGCAGAACCTGTTCTACACTACACTTCCTCCCTTGAGAAATCTAATTCCTAACTTTCTAGAGAGTCTGTTATTCTTTGCCTAGCAGATTGCAATTAAAGGAACAATGATTTTTTTTTTCATTTATTTTGAAGCCCATTTATATACGGCTTAAGAGAATAAAATGTGGCATCTAGACAATGGATTCAAAGAGAGAAGAGATTCTGACTTCACGGCAATTTTGAGATAGTAGATTATACATCCCAGATGCTCATGTCTAGTCCCTAGTCCGTCAGTCTCAGCATGCCCCAGAGTGAACTCATCATTTCCCCACCAGCATACACTTGTTTCTAGTATTTTCTATATTATTGTTGAGAGGGAGGCATTTTTTTTTTTTTTTTTTTTTTTTTGAGGTGGAGTCTCGCTCTATTGCCCAGGCTGGAGTGCAGTGGCAGGATCTTGGCTCACTGCAACCTCCGCCTCCTGGGTTCAAGCAGTTCTCCTTGCCTCAGCCTCCCTGCCTCAGCTTCCCAAGTAGCTGGGATTACAGATGTACCACCATGCCAGGCTAATTTTTGTATTTTTGTTAGAGAGAGGTTTTTGCCATGTTGGCCATGCTGGTCTCAAACTGCTGACCTCAGGTGATCTGCCCAACCTTGCCCTCCCAGTGCTGATATTACAGGCGTGAGCCACCGCACCTGGCTGTGGGAGGCAGTCTTGATTCTATCCTGTTCCTCATTCCCCTCACTCAATAGGTATCACATGCTGTTGGGTCTACCCTGACTTAAATTCCCTTCCCTCCCTCTCTAATCCTACTTTCTACGTTTGGATCTCACCATTCCTTACCCGGATTATGGCCATAGGATGGTAATGGTCTCTCTTATCTCCAGTGTGTCTATATTCCAATGTATATTTTTTTCTGAAATGCAAATCTCTTGCTTAAAATCCTTTGGTATCTGCCTCTGGCCTGAGTGATCTCACCCTTCTGACTTCTCTAGCTTGTTTCTCTCTGTTTACACTGCTGTCTGTCTGTTTCAGCCACACTTGCAGGCATCTCACCTCAGTATGTTTTCAATGCTATTCTCTATCTGGAAAACTCTCCCTACATTTCCTAACCCTTTAGGACTCATCTGGAAACCTCTGTGATCTCCACCAAAAATCCTGGGGCCTGACACTTACTAATAATACCTTCTATTTTAGTTTATGATAATTTGTTGGTAGAATTCCTAAGTTTAACTTTCTGATGATAATAATTTTTGATTATTAGAAAACTTCTGTTTTCTTACAGTTCTACCAATTGATTACTAAGCATTTGTGAAAGTGTAGAAACATTTTCCTGTAAATAAAAATGAAAGAAGTAAAACACTCTCCTTGGCTTAGCTATTTTGAAGTGATTCTCTTTTACCAAGCAAAGTTTTATTTTTCACTCTTATTTCAAACTGTAAACAATAAGCATTTCAAATGTGGACCAACACAATTTCTTCCTTTATAAAGATATTTTTGTATGCATTTTTATCACTTGATTATTCAGAAATAGAAAAGCCACTCGCATGTTACTCTAATACTTGGGTACATTTATCATGAATAAATGTTTGAATATAATGAAAGTATTAGGAATTAATAGTTTATGCACAAGTTGAGCCAAATTTTTTATGATTAGTGTTTGTTACTGCTTATCTGTTTGTTTGCTAACTGCTATCTTGTCTTGGATATGGCTTTTTAAATATTTGCTGATGATTACTAAACCTGGAAAAGTAATACATTAATTGTAACTGTGGGTGTTATTGTCCTAAAACAGTATTAACCCCTCATTTAATTTATTCCTGATATGACTTATAAACAAAAAGGACAAAGGAAGAATAGTATTTTCTCTTAGAATAAGAAGAGTTATTAAACTAATTTAGCATAAAGTTTTACTACGAATGTAAAACTCTTACATAAAAGTACTGAATTGGAGTCATGAAAACATAGATCTCCTCCATAGTCAACCCACAAATGATAAGAATGCCAACCTCATGATGCTAATAAGAATCTACTTCCTTGAAATAATTGGATTCTTACACAAACCAAACTTGTAATTGAGTTAGATTTTTATCTTTAGGAATTCTTGAAATAAAACAAATATGTTATGGGTTCTTTGTTCTATCACCTCCTTTCAGATTTTCCTATGGATTCTAGTAATGGAAACTGTAGAGGGGCAAGCAGTGGTGAGTATATCATTATCTTCCTGGTTTTCGTGTGTGATCGGATTAGCCATTGTTGTAACCTGGACACTCAAGTCATTCTTGGGAAAGTTTGTATCCTATATTTTATAAGAAAACTTAAAAAAATTCCTGATTCATATTAATTTTATTTTTAAAATTAGCATGTAGTAAAATTGATCTTTTCTTTTGATATACAGTTTAGTACACATAAATTTTAATATTATGTATAGATTCATGTAACCACCACCGTATCAGGATACAGAACAATTCCATCATCTCCCAAAACTCCTTCATGCTGTATCCCTTTATAATTACAAGTTTCCGCCACCTTCATCCACTGGCAAGCACTCACATTTTCTTTATCACTGTAATTTTGTCTATTTGAGATTGGGTTGGCCATATAAATAGACTGAGAGTATGCCTTTGAGACTCATCCAATTGTTGCATATATCAATGGTGCATTCATTTTTATTACTGAATATTTTAGTACTTGGATGTATGACCATTTGTTTACCGCTTCACTCCTTCAAGGAAATTTGGGTTGTTTCCAGTTTTGAGCAGTCGTAAATAGAGCTACTATAACCATTCATGTGCAGGTTTATGTAGGAATGTAAGTTTTTGTTTCTCTAGGCTCAATATGTAGCAATAGGATTGCTGGGTTATATGGTAAGTATATGTTTAACTTTGTAAAAAAGTACCAAACTGTCTCAAAGATGGCTGTTCAGTTTTATGCTAGTGATGTTCCATATCCTTGCTAGCCCTTGGTATTATCAATATTTTTCGTTAGCCATTTTAATAGATATGTAGTAATAACTCAGCATGGTTTTAATCTGCATCTCCCTAATGGCTAATGACGCTGAATGTATGTGTTTATTTGCTATCCACATATATCCCTTCTGGTAAAGTGTTTAATTCTTTTGCCCATTTTAAGTTAGGTTGTCTTCTTAATGAGTTCTGAGAGTTCTTTACATATTCTAGATGCAAAGAACATCATTTGGTTTTATTCATTTTCTTTACGGTTTTACTGTTTTCAGTATTATTGATTCTTTCCTTCTGCTTGCTTGCTTTAGAGATTTTGCTCTTTGTTTTGTTTCTTAGAGTATAAGCTTATACTGTGTTTTGAGATCTTTTTTTTTTTTTTTTTTTTTTGAGATGGAGGCTTGCTCTGTTGCCCAGGCTGAAGTGCAGTGATGCAATCTCAGCTCACTGCACCTACCAGGTTCAAGCAATTCTCCTGGTAGCTAGGATTACAGGTGCCCACCACCACTCCCAGCTAATTTTTGTATTTTTAGTAGAGACAAGGTTTCACCATGTTGGCCAGGCTGGTCTTAAACTCCTGATCTCAGGTGATCTACCCACCTTGGCCCCCCAGAGTGCTGGAATTACAGGTGTGAGCCACTGTGCCTGGCCAAGATCTTTCTTCTAATATAATGTAATACTATAAATACTCATCAAAGAATGACTTTAGTTGCATCTTGCAAACTTTGATAGTTTCATTTTTCTTCAGTTCAAAATATTTTATATTTTCTCTTGATATTTCCTTTGACTTGTGCATCATTTGGGATTGTGCTGTTTAATTTGCTGCTTTTTGAGGATTTTCCCATTATCTTTGCTATTTTTCTAATTCTACTGTTGAATAATATACATTGTATGATTTCAGTTCTTTTAAATTTATTAAAGTTTATTCTCTAATCAGGATATAATCCATTTTGGTGAATGTTCCATGTGCACTTAGAAAAAAGTGTATTTCACTGTTGGATGGAATGTCCTTTAAATGTCAATTCAATTTAGTTGAACAATACCGTTACTTAGTTCTTTCATATTCTTGCTGATTTTCTGTCTACTAGATCTGTTGATTACTAAGAGAGGGGTGATTAGGTCTCCAAATATTATGGATTTTTCTATTTCTTTTTTCAGCCTGTCAGTTTTGCTTCATGTATTTTGAAGCTCTGTTTGGTACATACTTGTTTAATATTTTTTATGTCCTATTGGTGAATTGATGTTTTCATTATGTAGTGTCCTTTCATCTGTGGTAATTTTCTCTGCTCTAAAGTATTTTTTCTGATATTGCTGTAGCTATTCCAGCTGTCATTTGATTAGTGTTAGCAGGGTGTATCTTTTTCTATCCTACTTTTCACACACTTAAGTCATTGTGTTTTATATACATTTTTTGTAGACATATAGTTAGGTCTTTTTTAAAAAATAGATACTGTTGATCTTTGTCTTTTGATTGGTATGTTTTGACCATTTGTAGCTAATGTAATGATATTTGTATTTAGAGCTACTATTTCACTTTCTGTTTGTGCCCTCCCCTTTTTATTCACATTGTCTTCTTTCTTTTGGATTGAGTCTCTCTCTCTCTGTCTCTCTCCCTCCCTCATTCCCTGCCTCCCTCCCTCCCTCCCTCCCTCCCTCTCTCTCTCTTTCTCTCATATACACATGCATGTATGTGAGATATATATCCTCAAGATAATTTTATATTTTTTCTTTCAACCATTGAATATATTTTAAATATGAAAACAGTTGCCTACTGTATTTATACAAATGTTTAATTTCTATTGTTCTTTCTTCTTTTCCAACATTCCACGCTTCCTTCTGGTATTCTTTCTCTTCTGTTCTTCAGACAGAACTTCTGTCTGAAGTATGTTTTACTTAAAAAATTCATAAGTATTTTTTGCACTTGTTTTACAGCAGTTCTGCTGGCAAAAATGTCTTTTTTTCTTTTACCTGAAAATATCCTCATTTCACCTTCATTCCTAAAGGATATTTTCTCTGCATACCAAATTCTAGGTTTGTAGTAGATTTCACACAAAAAATATTCCACTTCCTTCTGGCTTCAATGTTTCTTATGGGAAATTGGCAGTCTTGCAAATAAATTGTTTTCCTGTAAGTAATACATCATTTTTCTTTGGTTGCATTTGATGTTTTTTTCTTTGTCTTTGCTTTTTAGCAGTTTGATTATGACATGTCTGGATATTGATTCCTTTGAGTTTACCAGGTTGTTGAAGCTTCTTAAATCTATAAATTTATAACTTTAGCCAAATTTGAGGGGTGCTTAGGAATTATTTCTTCAAATACTTGCTTTTTACGCAATAGTCTCTTCTATGATGATCTGAATGTTAGATTTTCTGATATGGTCCCACAGGTCCCAGAGGCTCTCTTAATTTTTTCTCCTAATCTTTTTTCTCTCTTATTTAGATTAGGTAATTTTCTATTGACCTAGCTACAAGTTCATTGACTCTTTCATTGGTCGTGTTCAATCTCCTGCTCTCTGAAGTACATACATACAGTTTTTTATTTGTTAGTATATTTTTCAAAGTAAAAGTTCCATTTGATTCTTCATCACATTTTGTATTTCTTTGATAAGACTTTCTATCTTTCCATTTATTTCAATGGTCTTCACCTTTAATTTGTGAGGCATTTTAATGATAACGACCAAAAAGTTATTGTTGGATAATTTCATCATCTATGTCATCTAATTGCCTTGTTCCACTCAAGTTGAATTTTTTCCCCTAATTCTTCAAGTGTAGATTAATTTTGGGTTGAATCCTGGACATTTTGAATACATGCAATAAAGCTTTGGTTCTTGTTTATTTAAAGTTATATGGAAAATGTTTCTTTTTTAAAAAATTTTAGCTGCAGTCAACTAGTCAGGATTAGGCTGCAAATTCTGCCTAGTCTTCTGTGGGTTATGATTTCAATGTCAGTTCCATTTCCAAAGCCTTTGACGTACCTTCCATATCTATCCTATGTGTATATCACTCAGTGGCCAGCATGAGGTCAGGGTAATAATTTATCCCATAGTACAGTTTTTGAAATTTATGATATACTCTTTTATGTCAGAGTCACACATGCCCAGGGGTGAGTTCAGTAGTTCATAAACAACTTTACAAAATCCTTTCCCAGGCTCCTTCCTCTCTGTGATCTCCCTAGCACTTTTCAGTTCCTTGGAACTCCCTGTTTTGGTACTTTGGCCAGAAAGCTGGAGCTTTATCCCACTCTGTGATTCACTTCTTGTGACTTCTCCTTCAGATGGGGCCACGTGGTGGGAGGACGCACAGAGAGAGAGACAAAGTAATGATGCTTTGCCCCTGTCTTTTGGAACTATAAGTCCTCTAATCAGAGAGTAAGGTTCTCTCCTTCATCAGAGTTTTGGGTTCCTGAGGGTCTCTCTTGTTGCAGCTGTTGCTGTTACCACAGTCCCAGGATGCATTGAGGAAGGGAGTGCAAGAGGCTGATATGTTAGAGATCCTTTCCATTTCCTGAGCTAGAACTAGAGGGCTTCTCCTGGAGTGTACTCTGTCTGCACAATGCTCACCTCTAGGGTACAGGCTGTTTTGACACCAGACTGGTGGATAACAGAGGGGAAAAATGATGAGCCCACAATCAGTTTTATGGTATTGTTTTTTTCCCCCCCAGTGTTCCTATTCTACTTGTATTAACTTTTAGAGTTCTTACGTAGCTGCTTCAGGCACTCTGTTGAGGTTTCAGATCTGCTTTCAGTGGGAGAAACAAGATGGAGCTCATAAAATAAACAAATTATAACATGCATGCAGAAAAGTACACAAACCATAAATGTGCATTTTCACAAAGTCACCACTCTCTGTAACCAAGATATGTAACATTGCCAGCACTCGAGGAGCCTCCAAGTCACTACCCCCACCCTTCTTTTCAAAGGTAACTTCTACCAGAAATTCTAGTACTATAGATTAATTTTGCCCGATCTTCAACTTTATATAAATGGAATTCTACAGTATGTATTTTTGTGTGTGCATGTGACTTCCTTTGCTTTTTATTACGCTGCGTATAGCAGTAGTTTTTTACTTAATTGCTATATAGTATTCTATTATTGAATGTAGTATACTTTGTTTATTCTAATGTTCCCGGATACTTGGGTTGTTTTCAGTTTTTGTTACTATGACTAATGCTGCATTTGTTTTTGCAATATGATAGCTGCAGTGAGCACCATGTATTCCATTTCACTTTCCTCTAGTATTTTGCAG